GGGGAACCCTTGGTGGCGGCTGCTATAGGACGCCCTCCATGAAGCTGGTGTCGAGGTGCTGGATGAGCACCCGGATGAAGGACATCTCCTTGCGGGTGTTCTCGAAGATGATCCGCGGGTCGTCCGATTGGCAGCGCAGGCAGTTGGGGGCCATCACCATGGCCAGGTTATTGACGTCCATCTTGGTGACGGCCACATTGGCCGGCTGCACGAACACCTGGGGGGAGGAGGAAGGTGGCGGTGATGGGGTGGTGGGAGATGGGTGGAGGAACCGCGTGGACCTCCCGGTTCTTGGAGGAGATGGGGGGGGTCACCATGTGGGTAACCCCACAGCAACGTGGGGAACCCAAAACTACCTCAGGAGAGGCAATTAAACCGGGGAGTGGCCCGGCAGGGGACACTGGGGGGGGGGTCTTGGCTGTACCTGTAGGAAGCGGATGAGGTAGCACAGCACCATTTTGTTGATCCTGGGCAGAGAGTGGACGACAGCGATGGCCGCCTCGGGGTTCTCGTAGTGGGTGATGCACTGCTCATAAAACTCGTGGGGGATCAGCGGCTCCTCCAGCTCCCGGTACCAGAGTTTCAGCAGGGAGGCTGGTGGAAGTGGGTGATGGAGAAGATGGGGAGATGTGAGACACAGGGACCTGATTCCGCAACCCCCCCCCCCCTCAACAGCGCCCTGGGGTCCTACCGGGAACGTGGGGGTCCTCCAAGCCGGTGGGGATCTTCCACTGGTCCACCTGCAGCTTGAGGGCGTTGACCTCGTCAATGTCACCGGGGACTCTGTGGGGGGAAGAGATGTTGGTTCCAAAGAGATGGGGACCCACCACCCTCCACAGGCTTTGGGGGTCCTCCTGGGTGCCTGCGGGGCTCAAGGAGAGCCAAGAGGGGACATCAGCTGGGGATGGAGCCATTTTGGGGCCTGCTGCCCCATAGGAATGTAGCAACGTGGGGCTGGGGGCTGCGTGCAGACCCCAAGACCCCAAGACTCTGGTGGGCATCAGCGAATAGACACAACCCACCCCCGTGGCCTTGGAGCAAGGAGAAATCGGGGGGCTGCTCTCTGCCCCATGGGAGAAGACACTCATGGGGACATGGGGAAAGGGGCAGCTGCACTATGGTGAGGTGACTCCCCCCATGAGATGGTCTGGGCTGTCACCATCTTGAGGGGTCTCCTTGCAGCCGTAGGGGGGGCTTTACCTGAAGATGCCCTCGGTCTGGTCCCCGTTGAGCGCCAGGACCTCCTCGGAGAGGCGGGTCTGCACCCAGGGCAGCTGCCGGTCGGGGTACCGCTCCTTCTGCATGGTGATGATGTCCTGCAGGGAGCTGCCGAACATGGAAGGGTTGAAGACGGCGTTCTTGGCGTGGCGGATCTCCTCGATGTTCGGTTTCTTCAAGCCCTGTGAGAGACAAGAGAGGCCACCAGCACCGTCAGGAGCTGCTGCCGGTGTCCTCGGGATTGGGGACGTGAGGTCCTGCTCGATCCCAGCACCCTGCGACTGAGCTCCAGGGCTGGTTGTGACGTGTCCAGAGCAGGAGCCCATCGTGTGATGGGGACAGTGGATGGAGCCGTGGATGGACTCCAGCCAACATGGCCAAGGTCTCCAAGGGACGGACGCAGTAGACCTGTGAGTGCTGGGATGCAGAAGAAGAGAGGGAAGCAGTGGACGTGCGGGTGGTGGGATGGACACAGTGAACGTGTGTGTGGTGGGATTCAGAAGAGATGGATGAAGTGGATGTGAACACGGGGTGAAGGGGCGGACGCAGTGGACCTGTACGTGGTAGAACACAGAAGAGATGGATGCGGTGGTCGTGCGGGTGGCGAGATGAAGGGGTGGACGCAGTGAAGGTGTGTGTGGTGGGTCAGCAGGATACGGCCGTCGCTGAGCCCCTGGTGAGCCCGGCGGGTGACACACCCCTCCCACCACCAGGCCTCGTCTTGGCTGATGTCACTGGGAGATGCTGAGCTGCTGTGGACTGAGGAGGGGTCCCACTGTCTCCCACAAAATGAGGAGGGGGAAACTGAGGCAGCTGTTGGGAGGGTGGGGCATGAAGGGCACCCCAGGCTGAAAATTAATCCTAATTTGGGGTGTTTTATTAAATCCACTGTTGGGCAGCGATGGCTCCAGGGATGGATCTGCCTCGGCGAGCAGCTGTGGTGATGGGACCTGGGAAGAGCTGGGGGGCCAGCGGGGCAGCCCCCCCACCAAAAGCCGGGGAGATGGGAGCGGCTGGAGCAGCCTTTTCAATCCCCGGCACGCTTTTGCGCCGGTGTTTTGCTCCCGGGATCATTTCCTTAATCCCTGTTTGATCCCTTGGTCATGGGCAGGTTTGGGAAGGACCAGGGGGGGACCCCAGAGGGGACACAGCGATGGGCAAACCACGCTGGAGATGCCCTCAGCGTCCTCACCACGGGGCTGGCACAAGCTGCCGCGTTATTTCCATCGCTCTCCGGCTTCATCCCTGCTCCTCCTCCTCCAGACCCCATCCCTGAACCCCAGCACCACCCAAGGGGTTGGGGGTGGCCACCCCCTGCTGCCCTCCCCACGCCCAACGGTTGGATGATACCTTCTTGGCTCCCGTCAGAGCTGCCTTCTGCAGCTTGTTGTAGCAGTACTTGGCGTAAGTGCTTATTGCCACCCCTGCAAGAGAAAACAGTTGGGGGGGGCGGGTCAGCTCTGGCTCATGGGGGGGTTTT